ATATATATTTATACTTTATTTTTCAGGGGTGCTGAGGTCAAATTAAGAGTGCTTAAGCACCCCCCAAAAGAGGTTAAAATCACCACTGGTTCAAATTATATATAAAAAAAAAAACTTAATTTATTAGGAAAAAAAAAACTGGTGTCATTTTACCTGTAGTTCCAGCATTTCCCCAGTAAAAGCACATTACAGACACTGGCATGTATTAGAGGCAAATTAACAGCGGAGAAGAAGTAATTTCTTCTTCTATGCTTTTATTTTTACTTTGTCCTATGAACTCGTCTGTAAAAACATGTTTATCAAAGAAAAGAAAAGTGTACAGTGAGTGCTGAGTGTTTAATATGGAGTGGACAACAACATATTGTTTCACCGAGGTCCAATCAAAGACAGTTTTTATGCCAAGAACCTGTCACGGTTTTCAAAGAGTACACTTTGCTAACTGCTAACTATGCTAGCAAGCCTTTCTGGCAATTTTTTTAAGAAACATGGTTAAAACAGAGCAGGTCTATTGTGTCTGGAGGGCCAAGATAAGTTAGAAAAATCAGTTTATCACTCAGGACTGTGACTCGCCTTATGGAACTGATTGAAGATTTAGCAAAATAAGCTAAAAGGCAGAGAGAGTCCATTAAGTTACGGTTTGTTAGCACTGGATGAAAGTAATAAAGAACACTGCCCAGCTCCTATTTTTTTTTATTTTTTTATCTGCGGGATTATGAACCGTTTTGAGATAATGGAGGTGTTTTTGACCCTGGCGTCTCTAAAAGGAAAAACACGGAGAGAGTATTTTTGTAACCGTCTGCTGTCATCGAGAGAATGAAGCTTCTGTGGAGTAAACTTCAGTGTCACAACGGACCAGTCACCAAATTTAAGTGGAAAACATGTCGATCTGCTGACAAGAATCCAGGATAAAATGAAAGGAATACCTCGAAAAGGATGTTATTTTTCATGCATCAGGAATCGCTGTAAGTCTTGCTTTGTGTGTGTGCGTGTGTGAAACTGTTGTGTGTGAATTATCAAAAAAAAAAAATGTGAAAGACAAAAACATGCCAATTATTATCCAGGTACTCTGTTGTGATGCTGCATAGAGGAGCTGCAGGAGGATGACGTCTGCTTCCATTCCCATCCTGCCACAGCTGACCTGTCATCAACTTTAGATCCTGTAGTTGTAAAAAGTTTTGTGAGGAGTTTGTGGAGGTGAGCTGCCACTTTATTTAGACTTTTCTCCTGTGTTCCATTAGCATAGTGAGGTAAGAGACTTGTGGTTTGGTTCATTTTATTTTTCTTCAGGTAAGAGAAAATACAGTGGTTTGTCTTGTTTGTTGTTTTGGCCTGAAGTTGGTAAGACTCCACAAAGTCAATAATTTCACTGTTGTAAATTAAATCACTGTTCTATCATATAATCCTGACTTAGTGGCTGCTTCAGTGGTGCAGAAGGTGGAATCGCCCATAATTAATAGCGTCCCGGCGGCTGTTATTGCGCTGGGGTGTAAGATCACACAAACACTTCATCCATCTGTTCCAATTTTAGAACTCAGTGTGGTCCGCGTGTCCGAAAGTGCCCACCCCTGGTTTAATGCCATGAAGCAAAATATGTATGTACCAGTTGAGGTCAGACTGAGATAGCTTTAGCATGCTTATTGAACACATTACAATGCTGACTACATTTTTCTCCAAATATAGTTTCAGATAAAGCTGACTGCTTTAACTTTTACATTTGAGAAGCGGGTAAAGATAATAGATGGATCGATGTAGTCATAAACGGAAATAGTGCCCAAGCTAACACCTCAAGTAGAGACGACACAAAATCAGAGCATCAACCCTGCAGGCTGTCAACAAACCATGTGACCACTGAAGCCGCACTCACCCACAGTACTCTCCATGAAAACATTTTCCCAGCATGTGGCAACTCACTGTACATTAACAAATACATGCAATGCAGTAAATGCAGGTTGAAAGTTTATCTCATTAATAATCTTACTACATTTTGAAGCATCTGCTTGGACTAATTTGCATTTATTTTAAATAATTGACTTCCTAAAACTAGTGTGTGCACTGTGTGGCTGCTTGTGAAGACAAGTGTGTTCACACAATAAAACATGCAAATTGATATGCTTCAACTCGCTTGTTTACTGATCGTATCAGCATAACTGACAATGTTTAATGCGCTACATCAAAATGATTATTGCAGTAAACTGGAGAACTTTTAGCTTGACTTTCCTTGTTTTCTTTACTTAAAAAAAAAAAAGATCCTTCGTGCGTAAACATGCTCATTTTTAAACATGTTAAAATATCCTTCCATCCACTTCCTTTCACTGCTTTTCCTTTCCTGGTCACAGGGATCTGTTGTCTATATCCAGCAGTCACTGTGTGTGTGTGTGTGGGGGGGGGGGGGGGACACCAGAACGCAAGTCCATCACAGGGACACAATGAGAAAAACAATCATTAGAGTTACCAATTACCATAATCAAGTTCAAAGCCTGGCAGTACGTCGGTGCACTTGGTAGAGCTGCTGCCTCTCAGTGAGAAGGTCGACAGATCAAATCCCAGCCCGGGGCCATTCTGAGTGGAGTTTGCATGTTCTCTCTGTGCATGTGTGGGTTTACTCCGGGTACTCCAGTTTTCTCCCACAAACTAAAACCATGCATGTTAGGCTGATAAATTGTCTCTAGGTGTGAGTGAGAGAGTGAATGGTTGTTTGTCTCGTTTGTCTCCATGTGTTCCTGTGATGGACTGGAGACCTGTTTAAGGTGTCCCCTGCCTCTCACACATGATAGCGGGAAATGGGCACCAGTGACCCCATTGACCCACAAAGGAAGAATCGGGTAAAAGTTGATGAATGGATGAATGGATGGATGGAAGTTCAAAGTCTTTGGAGAAAACCTATGTAAGCATGGAAAAGTTATACACACTCCACACAGAAATGGTGAGAAGTAAACCTGCAATGTTTTTTTACTGTGAGGCAACAGCACTAACTGATGGTCTCTTGTACCGCCCCAATAAAACCCTTCAGGATTAATACGTATGTCCAGTAAATTTTCCTGAGTTCACTGAACAGACAGCAGTCACTGTAGCAACCCCATAAAGGTCACTTTTCTCTCTACAGAACAACTTCTTGTATTATTTTAGAACTCTTTATTCCATCCATCCAATATCTTTGCCCACTTCTTCCTTTTTGGGTCACTGGTGCCCATATCCAGTGAGAGGTGGGGTACACCCTGGACAGGTCTCCAGTCCATCACAGGGACACATAGAGACAAACGAGACAAACAACCATTCACTCTCTCACTCACACCTAGAGACAATTTAGAGCCAACAATCAGCCTAACATGCATGTTTTTGGTCTGTGGGAGGAAACTGGAGTACCCGGAGAAAACCCATGCATGCACGGAGAGAACATGCAAACTCCACCCAGAAAGGCCCACAGACCAAGATTTGAACTGGGGCAACCTGCTCACTGAGAGGCAGCAGCTCTACCAGCTGTACCACCGTGCTGCCCATACTCTTTAATCCTATTATTTTTATTGCCACAATTGCAATTTTAAAATCTCAATGACAAATTCTGTCAAACGTTTAAAACATGCAAAACATCATGAAAGTTATCCTGGCAGTGTTAGATATTATTGAAGTTATATTTTAGTACAAAAGAACAATTTACATTTATTGTTTACAAAGTTAAAAACAACACTTTTTATTCAAATAACCAAAGCCCATCGAGCTTTAGGAGTTAACAGCCTAAAACTTTTGGCATGGAGAGATGTGCTGCCCACATCCCCCAAATTTTACAATCAAAGTGTGAACACCCAGATTTCTGTGTCTGCAGGGAAATGCATGGATCTGAAGTGTGTTCCTTGAACAGGTTTAATCAAATATACAGTTCTGGATGTGTTTGTATTTATTCTAAGTAC